ATGCACAGTGACCTAGTAAGTGGCTGCAACACTTTTCTACCTTAACAGACAAACTTGCAGCAGCTTTAGGTTCAGTGTGGACAGAGATGGATGGCCTTCCTCATCCCTGAGCCACTTCTCCTAACACAGTTAGCTCCGTCCCTCGGCCTTCTCAGACTCTCTTCACGCCTCAGTCGACTCCGATCGTCGCCGTCGCTGTTTAAAATCACAGATGTCGCCGGTGGCAGCTTATATCAGCTAATTAATGCTAATTCCATTTCACGACAGACCAAATTCCGGCTCGCCTGTGATTGGGGTTTGTGATCTCTGCAGTCTGCAGCACTCTGTCACTCGGAGTGTTTCTAACAACTCCGGTGAGACATCTTATCTCAGTTTCGGGAGTCATAATATATCAGAAACTTGATGTTCTGTATTTTAGTCAAAGCTGAAGAAATAAGGTGAGTCAGACTTCGGAGGCTGAAGCTGTTATTTCAGCTGCATGTTTAATGAATGTTTAGGTGAATGTAGGTATTAAAGGACTTTAAATTAGGCTCCGTCCCAAAAAAACGCAGCAGACCTTCTGCTTGGTTCTGCATCGCAAACTGTAATCCACATCAATATGCACCAAGGTTTCTAATTTGAGGGACATATTAGCCTCATCACCGCTATACCAGTAGACTTTATTGAGCATCTGTGCAGTTTAACCTGCTCATTATCTTATTTTCTCTCTCTTTAAATAAAAAACAAAAGGTTCTTTGGCTAAACTAACTGATTCAATTTAACCGGTGAGATTATTTCTGTTCTCTGCCCCTGAGAAAAAAAAAGAGTTTAGATAATCATGAATATAAAGCATCCTCCCCGAGAGCCGTTTAGCATTTAAAGCTAACGCGGCAGCCATTTTTTTTAAAGAGAGTAACGAGGACGGCCGACCGGCTGCAGCCACTGAGTTGCCTCAACGCTGTTTAGAAGTAAATCATTTTGGGAGTAGCCCTTGAATTTTACTTTTTATGTTCCTATGAAGACATGAATGTCTTATTATCGGCCTTCTGTAGACGTTCTTTAAGCCGGTTTTGAGTCGACACGGCGGCAGAAGCCAGACTTTTGCCACAAAGTTCATACTTTTGTTTTTCTTTCAACCATCAGTTCATTTCTTTTCTCTTCCATTTCCGACTCCCTTTGTTTTTTTATTAACCGGCCAACGTTAACCCCCCCTCCCTCCCCGACGCCACATCTGCATCCACTGACCACTCCTTTGGTAGCGGACATCCTCACCGACACACATCTGTTATAGGGCCTCCTTCTTTTTCCTTTTTCTTTTTCTTTTTTCTTTTCTCCTCTTTTTCCTGCTAATGGGCCAGTCAAGACGGCCGGTTATTTCCTGGCAATAAGAGCAGTCATATCCCAGCTGAGTGCTATTGATCTCATTGTTCTAGTGCTATCTCTCACCACTGCAATTTCTCTCCTCTAAGACAGATTGTGCAATTGAAAACCAGGGAGATCTAAACCTTGATGAAATGGATAAAGACAACTATACATCTTTTTTTCTTAGACTTTTTTGTTCTTCTTTCCTTTTTTTTTTTCCCTCCCTTTTTTTTGTTTTTGTTTTTCTTTTTGTTGTTGTTTGTTTTTTCTCTCTTTCCCTCTCTTTTCTCATGCTTTCCGGCGGCGACGTGCGGCCCTTGGCCTTAGTGGTAATAGGTAGGGGACAAATAACAACGCCGTACATTCTAGTCATCCCAAGCGAAGGTGATTATTGCTTCATAGGCAGAATATTTTTCTTCCCGATGTTATGTCACGATACAACCATGAACACAACTCCAACACTACTTCATTTTGGTTGTCCCTTTGCCCTACACCTTCCCCCCCCCTTTCCTTTTTATTATTATTATTATATTTTTAATTCTCTTGGTTTTTCCTCTGTTTTTTTTTTTTTTTTTTTTTTGTTTCTCCGTCTTTTTCCTTCTCATNTTTTGGTTGTCCCTTTGCCCTACACCTTCCCCCCTTTTTTTTTTATTATTATTATTATTATATTTTAAATTCTCTTGGTTTTTCCTCTGTTTTCTTTATGGGTTTTTTTTTGTTTCTCCGTCTTTTTCCTTCTCATCACCTTCTCATCTTACTGCATTTGTTTGCATGTCTGCTCTGCTTTGAGTGTTGCTGGCTGTGTTTGGACCTCCTCTCTCTCTGTCTTGCATGCACACACACACACACACACACACACACACACAGCAGTGAAACCGTGCTGCGTTCACACACCAGCGATAGTTTTGTGATGCTAAGCTAGTCCTGCTCGGCTGTTAATCTGCAACAGAGCAGAATTTAACATCAAAAAAAGGAAAACGATACAAAAAACAACATAAAAGAGGTTTTATTTCACATAAAAAACAAGCTTAAGTTGCAACACATGAGATATTTAGTGTGAGTTTGGTTTCAGTCATGATGCCACCTTGCAGCTCGTTGCTTGATCACCTTCCATCTATAACCTCCTGGTGTTTCTCGTAGCCTATCAAATACAGTAAATGCCTTTAATCCAGCTGTACGCCGTGTTCACGGGCTGAGCAAAGCACGTAAACTCTTGTAAATAAGAGGACAAAGGCAATTATTTAATTTCGGAAAGAGCCGCTGAACCGTGACTGATCGCTTTTCTGCGGAACGATTATTTAAAAAAAAACAAAAACACAAAAGAAAACTGTGATCCACCTTTGATGTTTACAAGCGGCGAGATGCCTGAACTTTGGAAAAAATGTGACACTAATTACCGTATAATGCCGATTTTTTGAGAAGAAAAATGCAGAACTGAACTTATTGGTTCATTAGCGCGTCATTAGACGTCGTGTGAATGCAAAAAAAAAGAAAAAAAACACAAAACAATAATAAAGTGAATCAGTTGAATTTATTTGTGCAGTTCTTTATGAATCCAGTCATCCGTGTGCAGTAAACACACACAGGAGCCCGACGTTGCTTAGCGAACTGTGTCAGAACCATGTCGATGCTAATCCCTTTAAGATTTGTTTTTGAATGCCACCGCGGCGGCGCAACAGTCAGAAACGTCGACGCCAACAATGGCGGGGAATCGGCCGGCGACGGGCGCAAACCGCTGCCACGGGTTCTTTCTCAGGAATGTGAGACGACTTTACACGAACACAATAACGCTCATTGTCCTGAGGGAAATCGAGGTTGCCACACAGAATTACGCACACGACCGCGGACTGTAAACGAATAAACATGGATTGTGTTCATATGAAAGCAGAAAAGAAAAACCACCTCGGGCTGCATTAAAGCTGCGTTTCATTTCAACGGCGAACATTTAATTCCCTTTTTAACACTTGTCGCTTCCCTACACCAGAGCATATAAATAAATGAGAGGTTTCCTTTGTGTTTAATGGAAATGTGTCCGCTTAATTAGTAGTAAATTGATTTTTAAGCAAATGAGCAGCCACATGCAGGAGATCAACACAACCACAGTTCAGTATATGATGCATTAAACTTATATATACGGTCGTGACTCGATAATCCGACCCTTAACAATCCGACAACTTTGCTATCCGACAGGTTTTTAGGAAAAACCCATTAAAAAGAGCCTTAACATAGCGACAGCCTTGGATTGTGACTCCGACATGACATTTAATGTCACCAATCAGGATGACGGCGTATTATCTGACTGAACAATCCCACAGATTGGCTACGTTCACACTGCAGGACTTGATGCTCAATGAGGATTTCTTTGTGACTTCCTTCACGTTTCCAGTTCAATGTGACTTGTATGTGATCTGCTGTGTGAACTTCATACGACCCAAAAGTGTCCCGCATGCGCAGAAGAGGACACGACGACGTCACACGCAGCGAGCGTGCTCAGTGTTTATGGAAGTAAACATGGATGGTAACGGTGGAGCGTATCTGCCACTCCCCCGCCGCCACCGATGGAGGAAACAGAAGTGTGAGCGCTAACTAAACTAGCATCAGCAGCCAAGTACTGCCTGTGTGTTCTGGACACTTCCACCCCGGGGTGGAAGTGGCCGGATTCTGCACAAGCGCACCGGTCAGTTAGAAATCCAGCGATGTGTAGTGTTCTAACAATACACTAGTTATTACAACAACTATAAACAATAAATATTAACAACTAATGATCCTTCCAGCATCAAGCCCTCCTTGTATCTGGACCTCCGTCTTGACAATCCGACAGCCTTGCTATCTGACATAAAAGAAGGTTTTACATTTAGTGTCGGATTATCGAGTCACGACTGTATATATATCTGTGAGTGATACATTTTTTAAGCCACATCCACTCTGCGTCACCTTTATTCTGTATTTCTGAACATTCTCACGTTGCAGCTCCGCCGGTTGCAGCAGAAGCTAATTCACTTCCACTTTATATTGAATAAACCCAGAAGGAGCGCTGCATGTTGCTAAAGCTCGTACTCACAGACTGGGATCGACTCACTTTCACTTCAGTCGGTTGAGTTTGTCACCTCGTATTCTGTCTGAGAAGATTCTGGCCACACCGACTGTTTATCGTCGTTCGAATATGTCTCCTTTGGGTTTTTGAAGTCGGTCCACTTTCTGAGCAGATTGATCTGAAGCGGACCTGGTTTCGTGCGACGCTCGCTCTGGCAGAAGTCCCGCTTTAATCATCTGTCCTGCTTCACGTCTTCAGGAATTTATCTCAACTGCGATTTATGACTAACACATGAGTTTATACTGTGGCTTCACTTGTTCCCACATCTTCTGATACGTTCAGTTTGAACAGAAACAGCCGACGCGATTTAGAACGAACGCTCACTCAAATCAATATTTACCGCGCCGCCGTGGCAGTAATAATATGCTATACATGGGAGACCGCTGTCATAACTCGACTGAAAATAAGTCAGTTAAAAAAAAAAAAACATCAGACGTGCCACCGACTATAAAATGAAACCAGGGAGCAAATATGCAAAAAAAAAACAAAACACCATTGCAACTCCTGGCCGTCTTTTTCCAGCATTGCTTTGGTTGTTGAGTTGCATCATCAAGCACATATTAGTAAAAAAAAAAAGGAGAAGAAGCGCCTGCAGCGTGAAAACAGCTTTTAATATCCTTCAGCCTAAAGACCGCGGCTGCATTGTTTTAATTTGCTGAATGAAAGTAATTTTCCGCCCTTTTTGCTCGTTGCAGCAAAAAGCAAAGCTGATAAGTGGGACTCACAACGTGTATTTTTTATTTTTATTTTTCTTGATTTATTCCCGGCACGTGCTCGGCCGGCTGTAGCTCACGGCGGCGTCAACCCCTTGTCATCCACACACTGGTATTATATGTCAGATTCAATTGCCATTACCATTAGTCCCGAGGTCGATTGTAATTGCCGGTGTGCGGAGTCGTGTCGTAACCGGCTCCCTGCAACGCTGATGCAACACGTGGCTTCGCTATCTGTGTTGCGAGCGCGGCTGCGTGAGCGCACTGCAGAAGTGGAGCGTTGAAGGAATCATGTCTGGATTCTGTTTGTCATTGACCCGCGCTACACAAACACTCGCTCTCCTCCTCCCTCCAATCGCTGCCGAGCGCTCGCTGCTTAGCCGATCGGGTTGAATTTTCAACAGATTGAGTCAGACTGTAAAAAAAAAAAAAAAGCAGCTCCCGAGTGTTTGTAGGTGAATATCTGGAGATGATGTGACACTTTAAGGGCACAATAGCGGTGAGCAATGGATGAAATGCTGTTAAGGACTCGACTGGAGCTGACAGAGGAGCAGAGGAGGAGGAGGATGTGGGAGACAGGTAGAAGGAAAAAGGAGGCCCAAAGAGAAAGTCTGACTCAGGCCCAGAGTTTACCAGTTAATGCAGACAGGTGTAAGTTGCGTCACACCTCCGCCAGACAGACGTCGCGGCGAATTGTTGTCTTATGCTAAGTTTGCCCTTCTAGCTCCGCCATGAATTTCCCATCTGCTCCACAAAGCGCTCGACTGTCCCTCCATAAATCTTAGAGGCCCGGGTCGCGGAGCGCTCGGCGGCATCTGAGCAACGGAGAGGAACAAGGAGGTGCACGAGGAACAATAACAGCAGAGAGGACGGCACAAGAGGAGCAGGTTTTAGTCACGTTAGTCAATATTTACAATCCTCACATGTATTCATACCCTCCCATTAAAGAAGGAAAGAAACAGCTGTCATAAGCAAGTAAGACAAAAGTAATAATAGATGTCAATGTATGAAAAACATGATGTTGCTTTTGAATTGTGGCTCAACTGAAATATATTTAAAAACAAACAAACAAAAAAAAAACAAGCATGATGGGACCCCTAAAGTAATATTTTGTTCATCAGCAAAGTGCGCTAATTTGTCCGGGACAGTTTTTTTTTTAATTTTTTTAATTATTCTTTTCTACCACAATTCAAAAGCAATGTCATATTTCACTAAATTATAATTTAGCAAATTTTAATTTATTATTACTTTTTTCAGTTTCTAGTTATTTGAGTAACTGTTGTGATTTTGCCTTTTCTTTAATGGACGACCGTATGTAGATATTTTTGGCTGGTCTGTGGTTAAAATCACTTGAATCAAGACAAAAGTTGCTCTGATTCTATTTTGCAAAGTCACATATGCTGTTAAATACCTCCTCAGCTTAGTTTAACATTATATCAGCTTCATAATTTAATTTCTCCTCCTGCGAGTCCCTCAGAATGACCTAAAGTTGTTCTTTGAAATTATTTTTCATGGTCAGATCCAGAGATCAGGTGGCCAATCTGAAAATAAATCAATACTGAATTTTTAAAAAAACA